GAAAAAAAATGCAAGGAAGCCACCTGTGAATACAATGACCTAAATCTAGTGGACTAAATACTAGTCCCAGCTAGACTAAGGGCATATATAGACTGCCAGAAATAATCCAGTTTGAGGCCACTTTAACTGTCTTGGCTCAGTGCTAAGGAATCATGGGAACTGTAGTTTATATTATAGCACCAGAGCTCTCTGACAGAGAAGGCTCAATGTCTCAGAAAAAAACTACAGTTCCCATCATTCCCTAGCACAGAGCCAGGACAGTTAAAGTGGTCTCAAAATGGATTATTTCTGGCAGTCTGTATAGTCCGTGAAACTGTTAAACCAATTGCTGAATGATAAGAGAACACTTAACATACAACTCCTTGATACATTAAGCCTACTGTTTGGGAGTATCCCACACTACACAGTATAACTTTAAATGCCATGGCTCTATCTTATGGAATGCTGGAATTTATAATTGTGAGGTTCTTAGGATTCTCTGCCAGAGAGCTCTAGAGTGGTGGTTCAGGGGGAATAGAGAATTCAAAGTTCTTCCCCAGACTACAAACTCCAGGATTCTATAGGATGGAGCCATGGCAGTTAAAGTGGCATCAAACTGCTGTAATGTTGCAGTGTGGACATGCGCTAGTTGGGTGAAAAATGTGTGTGTGTTCACTGAGTATGTGCAGGTTTTGCCCATTTCCATACAAATACTTGATTTACTTTTAGGGGGTAAAACATCTGAAGTATTCCTGAGTCATTGGTTTAGTGCAGGAGATATAATACAGTAGTAGTAAAAACCATAATTAATTAAATCTGGAGTTAAGAGTTGAAAGTTGTCACCTGTCATTCGTTTACCAAGGATTTCACATTTCCTTGGCTTCCTTGCTAACTGTGGTTAACACTAATGAGGGCTTCCATCTTTACCATGGCTTGAAGTGAATTTTCTGATCATGATTTGGTGGGATCCAGTTAGGATTGTGACTATTGTATTGGTTTAAATTCAGTGCTAAACATTGATTAAAGCTAACAAAGAAAGGGATTCACTCTGAGAAGAAAAGAATACATATGTCCAAGATTGGCTCCTAGTTTGCAAATGATGACTTGAATGGAATTGACATTAATATCTGTACTACACTGAAGAGGGAGTGAATGGACTCTTCCGTTTGCAGGAGCAGAATCATAAATTGTGAAACATTCATTATGAGAAATGATTCAGACACAAAATGAAATACTTAAGCCATATGAGGAATGGCTAATGGCTCTGATCATAATACAGTGCCTCTCAAAGGCTACCTGAAAGCCAGGGTCTTATTCTTGGTGCTGTGCAACAGAAAACAGCAGAGAAATAATGGTATGCAATTTCCAGCTGGGGAAAGGATGCATAATCAAATTATGTAAAACCAATTATTTGCCACTTTTAGGTCTGATCCTTCAGCTTGATGACTGCGTTCCCTTCCTACATCTGCCTCTATATAATCCAGTTATTGTTAAATGGGATTTCCCCAGAAGTTTGCATAAACTTGTATGAGACAAATTTTAAGAATAGGTTCTTGTTGATATCTAATTAAATTGTATGTAAGGTTATAAGGTATTTAATTTTGGAAACAACAGTTGGTGTGAATAAAATTGCCAGACTAGTCTTTCTTTCCTTTAAATACTTTGTGCTCTGCTAGCTGGTCTAACTCTTGTTTCAACCTTGTTTTGGAGTACTTTGATGTGACAGCGAGGCTGAAAAGACGTGTCAAGCCTACTGACCATTACCCCTTTCTCTTGGTCCATGTGGAAACCAATGATACTGCAAGGCATAGCCTTCAGAATATCTGATGGGATTATGAGGCTTTGGGTGGGAAGCTGAAAGAGCTGGATGCACAGGTTGTTATCTTTTCTCCCAGTTGAAGGACATGGTCCAGGAAGGAAGAGGAAAATAGTGGATTGAATAACTGGCTCCGTAGATGGTGCCGCCAAGAATGATTTGGATTCTTGGATCATGAGCTGCGGTTCCATGAGGGTGGACTTCTGGTAAGAGATGGGCTGCATCTCACACCAGTTGGCAGAAACATTTTTGCCAACAGTCTCAAACATTTGATCAGAAGGGATTTAAACTGAGTCATATGGGGGAGGGAGACAGTATCTTGGAAAGTAGCAGTACATCATGGGCTGAAGATAATAGTCAAAAGTGTTATAGAGGGAACAGTGCAAATGAAGCAAGGGAGACAAAAAACCTCACAGGCAGCAAGTGGGGAGGACCCATGCTCTTAGATATCTCTACACTATTGCACAGAACATGGGAAATAAACAAGGTGAACTTGAACTCCTAGCACAACAAAGCAAATACGATATAATAGACATCACAGAAACCTGATGGGATGAGTCTCATGATTGGAATGTAAGAATAGAAGGGTATAACCTTTTAAAGAGAAATAGGCCAAACAGGAAAGGAGGAGGAATAGCATTATATGTCAGGGATGTTTACACCTGTGAAACGATCCAGGACTTAAATCCTGGAATTCAGATGGAGAGCATCTGGATAAAAATTAAAGGGGAAGGAAACAACAGAGATGTTATTGTGGGAGTCTACTACAGACCCCCAAGTCAGACTGAGAAATTGGATGATGCCTTTCTAGAACAGATGACCACACATTCAGAGACGTAGTAGTGATGGGTAACTTCAACTGTCCTGATATTTGTTGGAAGTCAAACTCAACCAATACTTCAAGGTCTAGCAAATTCCTCACTTACCTTGAAGACAATTTCATTGTCCAAAAGGTGGAAGAGGCAACAAGGGGATCAACTATTTTAGATCTGATCTAACCAACAGGGATGCCCTGGTAAATGGGGTGCAAGTGGTGGGATCCTTAGGTGGGAGTGACCA